ACAACGAACAAGTTGGCTGCCTAGGGTGTGGTGGTCAGACAGCTACACAGGCAGTGGCTGCGCCCCGGGAGAGCCAGTGCAAGGCTGAGTCTCCGCAAGAGCAAAACTGCAAAACTGGCCACATCTATTCTTGTAGGTCATGCCCAAGATCTACCAGGCACTACATCTATGTGGGCTTTGCCAGACACTTCACACACTGAGTGCACTGGTGCCTATGTGGATTTAAACACACAGACGTGCATGCACACAGCAATCTCAGCGTTCAGAGAAGAGGCTGGAGACATACCTGTGTCTTATTTTTATCACTGGTAAGGTACTCTGAACAAGAGGGACAAAGCAATGGGCCAGAGTGAGGGCTGGGAGGAGCACTCAGCTGACAGCCTCTACACCAAGTGTGGCCAACTCACCCTAAGATCACAGAGGGGCGGCCTCACAGCCTTGCCATTTCTAGGTCTGAGGTCCCTGTTTTTGATGTGGGTTTGTGTATGCAGCTGTAAAAGGGGACAAGAGGCTTCCTGTCCCCTCAAATAGCTCGCTTTCCAGTTCCTGGGACCAATATACCCGACACCCACAACTTAAAGGAGGACAGGCTTGATTTGGCTCATGGTTTCAGGAGATTCAGTTCATGGCTGGCTGACCCCAAAGCAGGAACATCATGGCAGAAGGGCATGGCAGAGCAAAGCTGCTTAGTTCATGGTAGCCAGGAAGCAGAGCAGGGGACCAGTGCCAGAGAAGCAAGAGCGGGGACCAGGTTTAGTACTCAAGATCACACTTCCATGAGCTGCCCTGACACACCCCAAGTGTGCTTTACTCATGTCCTAGGTGGCTCCCAAGCTAATCAAGCTGACAATCAAGCTTAAGGGGCACATCCACTGCATTTCTCATGTCATAATTGAATCTATGTTACCAAACATACCCATTTTTTTTCTGATGAGCAGAGAAATCATACTACTCTCTTATGAGGAGAGCATGTGCATGAGCTTGTGTGTGTCTCAAAGCACTTATTTATGACTTCAATGCTGGCTGCTTCTTTTGAATGGCCCTCTCCCCCACTCTATGCTAGAGATTGAACACTGGGGCTTCATACCAAGCTACATCTCTAGCCCTGCCCCCTGACCCTTTTTAAAAAAGTCCTGAGACAGGGTCTCACCAAATTGCCCAGGCTGGGCTTGAACTTGCAATCCTCCCACCCCAGCCTTCCAGGGTGCTGGGATCACAGGCGTGAGCTGCCATGTTTGCCTTCCATTTTTCACTTCTGACTCTGTGTTCCAGTCCAGCTCTGTATTTTCACACCCAATTAGGCTATTTCTTCACCCCTTCCCCTATGGGATTGGGCACTAAAGCGTATCAGATCTTATGGACACAGCAGAGGCACAGGGTCTGTGCAGCTGGGGCAGATAGATACCTTACTCTCTAGCACTAAGTTTGCTCACCGTAAAGTGAGTCTAATAGCAGTACGCTGTCGTGATATGACACTGCTAGGACTCAATGACCACTGCAGGCAGAATGGATGGTGCAACGCCTCCCAGGCCCACGTGTTAGTACTTATATTAACCGTGAGATGGAGATGTAAATAACAGTCATGACGTACAAATTCTAGCACTGACCAGACACTTCCAAATCCCATAGCCGTGTCCGTACTGACGATGGCACTCAATGCTATGAGTGGCGGCAAACTGGGTCCGTCACCTCCAGAGCCCACGCACATCAGCACAGGGCTCCTGCTGGGAGGTCCAGGGAAGACTGGGAGGGTGGGAAGAGAGACAGTGGAGGTCGGGGAGAGGGGTGGATAGGCAAGCACCCAGGGGGAAGGGCTGACTGGGTGCGTGTGCAGGAGTGTGCCGCACCCTGGGAGCCCTGGGCGGCACCCGCGGCTGGACAGTGGGGTGAAATGCGAGTGAAGCTGAAGCGGATGAGGTCGGAAAGGAAGGCAGGAGGCATCTCCACGCCTTACAAAGGTGCTGGGGTTTTATTCTCTAAGCCAGAGCCCTCGGAGGTGTGTTCTACAAATTGGCAGTGTCATAGTATGCTCTAAGAATAAAGGAGAAAAGAAATGCAGTGGACTCTTGAGTTACGACCGACCTGACATATGAACAACTGGAATTTCAGTTTTAACTTAGGAACAAAGTCTTGAGTTACAACCCAAATGCCAGCTGCTTGTGCTTCCAGATGGTCTCAGAGACAGATCTAACCCTTAAAGAGTCTGGAAGGAACATGACAACAACCTTTCCCGTGTGGGGCTAAGTGAGAAATCCTGGGCCAGGGTCTCGCCAAGGACACTGGGATCTGCCTGTGTACAGGAGAGAGACTTTGATGGTTGTGAGAAGGAGCCCGAGCCTTCACTGACCAACTTGAGGTACAACCAGCCCTCAGGAACAGACTGAGTTCATGAATCAAGGGTACACTGTAAAAGAACTTAGGGACCAAACGAGTTAGAAAAGTACTGCATACTGTGTTCTTCTCAGACAGTCATAACACTGATAAGCAAACCACAGGTGCCAGGCGCATGGCAGAAGGGTTTGTGGAATGAGAAACGAAGGTGGGAGATTAAGAAAGACAGACAAAGAGACAGAGGAATAGGTGGGCCAGGTGGGGCTCTGACTCCTGATGGGAGGAAAAGACCCCAGGCAAATGCAGCGGGTTATTTATAGAGTAGAGGTAAGGGAAGCACTGGGGCAGGTAAAGGGGCTGGTCTGTAACGGGAGCCAGAAGAGCAGCCAAGGTCTGCAGGACCTCAGGCGTGATGGTTCTCTGGAGAACGGGTGGGGAGGAGGACAGTCCTGTTCTCCCCAGGCCTTGCTCGACCACGCCCTCTGTCGGCTGTTCTCCTCCCCTGGGGCCCTGCCTCATCCGCGGGAGGAGGCGAGTTAGGCCTGGCTGCAGGGATCCGCAGCACAGCGCTCCCAGCACAAAGGCTCTAAGCATTTTTACAGTAAAGAAACTGAACTTCTGGGTTTAATGGTGGAGTGGTTACCTAACACATTCGAGGTCTGATTCCTAGCACAGAAAGAGAGAGAGAGACTGGACTTTCTCTAATCCAGCACTTCTCCATCTTGCTGGGCCATGGACTGCTCAGTGCCAGCCTCTATTGAGGGCAGAAGGAGATGGAGAGCGGCAGGTGCGTGTTTTAGGGAGACTGCTGTGGAGGCTGAGGAGAGGGCACACAAGGGGGGTGGGCAGCAAGAGAGATGTGCCCGAGGAGGCCAGGGCGGTGCTCAGAGTAGAGATCAGGAGATCCTGGAAGTGGAGGATAGGAGGGCCAGTGGAAGAGAGATGAGGGGAGGATGACCCTGCAGATAGCAGATACGGGGTACGGTGGGAAGGAAGACGGGCACTTGGGTGTCAGGAGAGCATAGGGAAACTGAGTCAGGGGGCGAGCAACTGAGGGTGGGTCCAGGCAGGCTGAATGTGAGGAGTGTCCAGGAGTGTCCTGTGCGGGCGGCAGGGACAAGAAAGGTCAAGGGGGAGAGCAGAGGAGAGGAGGCCCCTGGGAACCTGCGGTCAAGGAGAAGATGGGACAGAAGCATCTGAAGGGGCCTGAAGCAGTCATCAGAGAAAGACGTCTGAAGGTGCACACATTTGGCTACTGTCCAATTGCTTTACATGAGGAGTAAACATCTCGCTTCACTCCGGTAGTCCTCATTTGAGTATTTACCAAGTGGCAGAGTGCTAGCACCTTCTATGTGTCATTCTGGACATGCTCAGTGAAGGGCAGTGGGACCAACGGTGTTCGGGGCATCACAGAGCAGGTGAGATCCGTTCCCCTTCATGCCTAAGATCGCGCGTGCTGTGCTGATGCCCTGACTGCATCCTCACTGTCTAAGCGCTTGTTCTTTATCCACCCGATTCTCTTCCACGCCCTTGCTGAGCCGGGCTGTCTCACACCAGGTGTAGCCTTGAAGAGAGCCAGAGGAACAGCGCTTGAGGTGCCTGCTGCCCCAGTGGCTTCCGCGGCCATCGGCAGTCTGAGCCCTCCTGGGCCGCACCGCAGCTGGGAACCACACGCAGGCCACACTCGCCTGACTGCACACTTCACTCTCCACACTTGCTCCACAGACAGCTTGGTTTCTCAGAGAAGAAAAAGGGAATCTCCCTCAGCAAATGACGGTGTCCCCGGAGTGAGTGTGGTCAACACCAAGGCGGGGCAGAGATGAGGCGACTTGTTGGACACGTACACCTCATCACATCACGGCTGCGCCTCTTGGACACACACGCGTGTGTGAAGCCGCATGTGTCACCTGTTCTGGAGAGCTCCATGTCCTCATGTGGCGTGGCCACCGGGGGTAAAGTTTTAAATGCTAAGGAGGCTTAGGCGGGGGCGGCAGGCTGGGCAGTGACGGAGAACAGGGTGGGTCTTGGGCAGGTCCTCATTACCTCAGGGAGCACACACAAATGAGGGCTGTCAGTTCCCATTAGCGTCCTCTGATGCACGCTGTGGTGCCAGGTGGAGCGTGTGAGGCCAGCGGAAATTAGAGAGCCATACTGCTGAACTTTCCACGAAGCAAATCACCCGTGGGAAGGGACCTGTCTGCTTGGAGTGCAGCATTCGGTGTTGCGCTGGCTGAGGGTACGCGACTTCCTGGGGCTGCCCGTCAGCCTCATGGAAAAAAGTGTCATCGGGTTGCTCAGATAAACTCAGTTTTCCTTATGGTTCTGGGAAAAGCGGAACACTGAACCCTGAGCTATGGATGTGCTGGTTGACTTGGAAAAAAATCCATTTCCTCAGAAGACATGTTTAATGAGGCAACTGGGGTCTAAGGTGATAAATTAGAAATTCAACTAAGGGCATCAGGCTGAGAGGAAAACGCAGAAGCTTGATGAAAAATGCAAGCAGAGAGAATGAATATTTTTTCGTAAAGTGTTCATCTTCGTACTGACAAATCTATGTTTGTAGATCATTTCACCTATGATTGCTGGTTTTTAATGTCATTCGTTGGGGACTCTATTTGTTTTGGGATAGAGGAAATAAAGAGGGAAGAGAGAGACTCCAGAAGGCTTACCTTGCCATCTTCTGTGTAGACGTTTTCATTGTAGCCCTTCACTATGGTTCGATCAATGAACAGGCTCCGCATGACGACAATCACTTTCAGTACCTTCCCCAAGGTCACCTGTCAGAACACGAGTGTGCAAACATGAATGCTCACACTTGAACATGCACTCCCCACCCCGCCGGGCAGGCCTGTGTGAAAGGCGGGCACTTTGCCCTCCGTGACCACTGTGGGCTCTGCGGGCCCCAGCTCAGCAAACCGCGGACTGCTTTACATTCCCGGCTCACGAGTTCTGGGCTGTTTCACACACATTTACTACCTGATGTACACGCGGCCGCCCGCTCTCTGCTGGCCTAGGATTAGTGAGCACACCTGTCTTCACACTCTGCCTGGCCCTACTCACACCCATGGACTATGCTGAGCAGGCACCGAATACCGCTGGTTGAACTAGCTATTTACAGGAGCCGGTACGAAGTGGAGAAGCAACACAAAAATAAAGTCTGAAGGTAAAAGGAAAGTAGCTAAATTTTAATTCCAGAAAAGAAACATGATCCCAGAAATACATTTAAGTGCTTTTACTCTTCTAGAACCTAAGTGCATATTATGGATTTAAAAGACAAACACCTAGAAACACACAGTTTCTCACATGCCAGGGAGACAGGAGTGCTGTGCTACTGGGACAGGCACAGCACCGTCCTTCAGGGGCTCGGCAACTCTCCTGTACTCACTCCGGAAGCTGCTGCTTCTCAGTTCCCAGCTGAGAGCCCTGAGGCCAACCCGGCCCAAGACCAACAGCAAGGCTGTGGGGCCCAGCTGCCCCGACAGGGCTGGACATCATGGCCTGGCAGACAGAAAGCCCTCAGGTCCCTGCAAGACGGAAGCCTCAGCGCCCCATGGCACCCCAATCCTGGATGGCATATACCCATCCCACAGCTTTCCAACTGACTGTCCCACCAACAGCCTTCCCCCTTTCTGGACTAGTCCTGGGCACCAGTGAACGCCCAACATCTGGGGCCTTCAATGGTTTTAAGTGCTGGGTTGATGTCTCTAGTTTTGTATGCCTAAACCAGTACAGAATTTAAAAACCATTTAAAGGAAGGCTAAGCCAGAAGTGGTGGGATGCAACCTATAATTCCAACACTGAGGAGGCAGAGGCAGGAGGACTGCAAGTTCAAGTTCTACCTGGGCATTTTATTGAGACCCTGACTCAAAAGAAAAAAACCAAAAAGGGACAGGGATGTAGCTCAGTGACAGAGCACCCCTGGGTTCAGGCCCCAGGACCGGCACCATCACCACACACAAGAGCGGGGACAGGGGAGAATGTGCTAGTAAGTGTATCTTTATTTGTTTTTGGTACCGGGGATCGAACTTGGGTCCTTGCACTTGAGCATCAGGGGGCGAAACCACTGAGCTAAATCCCCGGCCCTAGTAAGTATATCTTTTGTTTTTTGTTTTTTTTTGGTACCAGGGATTGAACTTGGGACCTTGCGCTTGTGAGGCAGGCGCCAGAACCACTGAGCTAAACCCCCGGCCCCCTAGTAAGTACATCTTATCTTGGTACTGAATAGCGTCATACCAGTACCATTTAGTGGGTCCTTCTTTTGTAATTGAGAACACAGCTTAGGAATGCCAATAAAGCACAACGGCAGGATTGGCAACTCTGCCCCCAGCCAAAAGCAGCTTGTGGAAGGGAAAGCAGGACAGAGGGGGAGCGGCTGAGCCACTGTTCTGTTATTACAAGCATGGGCAGCAATTGCCTCTGCCCACTGTAACTGTCTTTGCCTCGGAGCGCAGCACTAGCAGCTGTTTTCTGAAGACACCAAAATCTGGCTGACTTTAACTCATTAACTGCCTTACTAGTTCCTTAAAATTTCTTAAGATGGATTTCAGAAACACACTAAAGATAGCAGAAATTGTGTTTAAAATTTTTTGTTGTTGTTTTAGAAGTGGATTTTGGTATTTTAAAACTAACTAATACTTAAAAAGTTAAAAAATACGTGTTTATTATACAAAAATCAAAACTAGAGGAAAAAAGGAGTTAATATATTGAGTCTTTCCATCCATAGATAACCATTCACATTTTAGGCTATCTCCTTTAAATATTTTTATTATCCAATCTTTATCATTTTGGAATTTCTGACATGGTTGTAATTAAAACTATTCATACCTACATAACTTCAAATCAATTTTTTTACTTTAGGTTATGACAACCATTGTTCCATATTGCTACATAGTTGTCAAACAGCGGTAGACGCTGCATGGTATTTATTGTAAAGGGAGTGGGTTTACTGCAATTCCTTTAACCATTCTTCTACTGACAGGCATTTCAGCTGCTTCCACATTTCCCCTAATAAAAATGTGGCTGCAATGCATACTTTTGTGACAAAGCTTTCACTGCATTTGGGATTATTTACTATTTTAGGACAGAACTGCAGAAATATAATTATGGGTACAAACAGTATAGATATGCAAAGGCTTTTGATACAATCTACCAAACTTTTCCACAAGTGTTGTGCCAACCAGCAAGGGATGGACACAGCTACTGCTTGCTACCTCCTACCCCTGCACACACAGTGGAACACCAACTTAGTTTTTAAAAGGTTTCCATTAGGGAAGATTTAAAAGCAGACCAGTGAGGATGCCCTGTGCAGAGGAGGGCCATGTGCCCACCCCACTGCAGCCCTGCCCAGCTCTTCCCCGCTCCATGTTGCCTCCACCTCCTCCCTTCCTGTGCTATTCTGAAATCATTAACAGCCCTGGTGTCATTTCTCTGTACAGACCTCTATTTCAGTACAGGTCTCTAAAAGATCAGGGCTCTGAAAACCAAAGAGCCTACCTGTGACGTCATCCCAGGTCCGAACAATGGTGATCCTCCAACAGCATCCAACAGCCAGGTACAGAGCCTACCTTCCCACGTCCTAGTGCCACTCTTAAGACATGCACAGTATCAGGACGTGAATACAGCCCACATGTGTATTCTCCCAGCTGACATCTCTCCCAAGTCTAAGCTGAGGCATCTCCTCCCCCCTCGTTACTGGATGAAGTAACTGGGTCATTTTCTAACTTTCTAGAAGGTTCCACATCTACCTTTTGCAGATGGTGCCACCGTGGTGCACTTTACCATGTTCTTCCTTACCTGGTACTTCCTCCAAATTGGGAATAGGCGACTCACAGATTTGATTTTTTTGGCAAGATCGCATCTGGGGCTAGAGTGGTCTGTGGACCGTCAGTGCTGAGAGGTCTTGCCCTGGTTTCCTTTTACTGTTTTTCAAATACACGAGGCTCTGGGAAGTCTATCCATTCTCTTTTTACAAAGCCAGAAAGTGTGCTAGAGTTCATCCAAGCAGGAGAGGCACAGAATTATGCCTGAGTATTAACATACCCATGACACTCACTATACCTCCGATTTTGAAGGTGTTGGAATTGGCCCAGTCCCTATTTCTCTGAGTGGGAGTTTCTTCCGTGGATGTGGAGACAGTGCTGCCCATCTCAGAAGGACGGGAAGCCCATGAGGATGCTCAGGTCCTGGCACACACAGAGGAAATGCTGAGAGGAGCAGTTGTTACTTGCCCAAGCCCTTGTCTGCGCTTTGCCAAGGCAGCGCGATTCAACGCCAGTTAACATCAAGGCTGGAACTGGAACTGCCGCCACCTGCAGGCGGGTGAGCTTGTCACTCAGTCTCCTCTCCTGCTGCCCTACCAGGGGCTGCAGGGAGAGGGTGATAGTGTTGCTGAGCCCTGAAGGATGCACAGGCCTGAGGAATGGCTCCTGAGAGCCCGCTGCTTGCAGGCTGGGCTGTTCAGGGGAAGACGGAAGCCTCTGTGGGGCCGACAACAGGCCTTGTTGACCAGCGACGGCCACTCAGTGTGGGGCAAGGCCCGTGATCCTGCACAGGCTTCTGTCCCACAGGTGAGTCCAGGTGGTATGACTGGGCCCCTGTTTACTCAGCTGTGAGACACATACAGGGGGCTGGCGGGGGAAATTAAAAGAGGATTTGCACAGTGCTGTGCCCTACGGTGCGACTCACAAGGCCTCCGAGTGCAGTGTGACACAGTGGCACAACCCCCATGGGACAGAGCTCTGCCTTCAGTCTGCAGCATCCCTTCTAGCCCCAGCGTGCCTCCACAGTGAGTCAGAGCCTCCCTCTCCTGGCACCGAGGTTTCCCAGCCTATCTGTATGCCCCAGGCTGCAGTGGTCTTGAACTTCTGATACTGCTATGATAACACACTGTAGATGGGCCAGTGGACCTCTTCCCACGAAGTAGCTGGTGCTGCCAGGTCAGAAGCAAGACGCCCATGTGCGGGCTATGGGTCGCTTTTCGGTGACTGCTATGGGATGCCACAGATAAAAGCTAATGCCATCTGTTAATGAGGCATGCTTGCTGTTGCCAAGGTAACACTTTTCCACACTGAACTTAGAGCTCACTCACCACTCTTCCCTTGGGGCTGGGCCTGGCAAGCGTTCATGAAGCTCGTAGTGAAGTCAGAGCAGCACCTGCTTCCGGAATAAGGCCCATGTGGCACTGGGAGAGGTGGCCAGGAGGCCTCCTCGTGTTGTACCCTTCTGGAAGCAGGTCTGGAAATGCTGCCCCTGCCAGGGTTACTGTGGTCTGGGCTCAGGTGGTCTGCCCTCCTGGTCTGGCAGTGCTTGCCTGTCAAGCTGGCTTTCTAGCTCACTGAGGCAAGGACACCCTAAGGGAGGGAATGAAGTGGTGGGAGAGCTGAAGGCAACAGAAAAGGCTCTGAGCCCAATCTACCACCACCAAGAACTAACATCCAGTGGCTGAAGTGCTGTCCCTACTGGCGGTTAGCAGGAGAGAAGCCAAATACTTAAACCAGTGGTGGCAAACCTGTGGCACACAGGCTCCAGCGGGCTGTTTGTATCACTGAAAGCTCTAAAAGGTTTGCCATCACTGACCTAAAACCCTGACTTCTCCAGGTTTGCACATGGCCAAAGCACTTAGAACCCCAGCAGTGCCTGTGCCTAGGGCACGGGGAGGCACAGGGACCAAATGCTGAGGAGCCCAGGCCTGATGGCATCCTGGGTTGGCACAAAGCAAGTGTGCGGGAGGTGAAGGAGTCAGCACAGGGTCCGTCATTCACACAGCTGGCTGTATGCC